TATTGATTGATTCCCCCCCCCTCCCCCCCCGCTAAATGGTACGTAAGGGGTAACAAATATGCAGGCACACGGGAGGAGGGGAAGGTTGGAGTATGCATCATACTACACGTTAGATTATCATCTAATTTTGCTACCGGTACATTCGTTGTTGTTTCATGGTGGTCTCCGCAGGTGGACAAACATCTGCTGTATTCGGCGATTACCTTGTCGGTGCTCTCACGAAAGAGAAATACCATGAGGAATGTCGTGAACGATACGAGTATACCGAGGATTCGGAGATTCATGATAAGGATGAGCGTGAGCCTCAGACTCGGTGTAAAGTGCCTTACGGTGTTCGAGGTAAGGTTCCAAACAATTCCGCATTGAAGAGACAATGAGGCCGCTACATGACAGACAATGAAGGTCTTTGGTGGACCCAGGACAAGTTGCTCAGGATGTTGAAGAAGAAGGAGGTGGAACTAGTTGCACTCAGGAGTGTGTTTGGAAAAATCAAATTGAATGTACAATCAGTGGTTGAAAGTTTCCTTGAAAGAAAACGAAGTGAAGAGGTGAGATAAATTTTTTTGTCCGGTACTGTGGATGTGAGGAAGGAGGATGATGCTGGCGAGGACATCGGCAAACAATTTGGGAATTTAATGCAATCCAACATTACAAATGAGTTGCTTGATCAAGTTGTTAAGTTTAGTGGTGGAATTGATCCGCATGTGTGGCAAGAGTGTGAGTCTTTGCGTCTACGATATGAAGCAGTTCAGAGTGGGATTAGAACATTGTTGTTATCGGGTGCCTTGCCAATCTATTGATCCTTCTTTTGCATCGGAGTTGTTTGAGCTTCTATTAGTTGGAACTTTGGAAGAGCTCTAAAAAAACTCCTTAATTGCTATGTTGCAATCATTACGAACGGTTGGTTTAAAGCTTGCATACAAAAATGCACTATTTGACGTGCATAATACAATGAGGTTTCTAGTTAGCGATAGTCAGTTGAGGACCACGGTTGTCAGTCTCGGACAGTTGTACAAAGAGACGCGGGAATAGTTAATGGATGTCGTGTTTACGGAGCATTTCTTTGATCGATGCGATCAGGGACTGACGAATGGCCTGATAGCGATATACAAGCAACAATCATATACCCTGAGGATTTTATTAGCAAATGTCATTAATGCTCATTCCCTAGTGCGGTTTCTGAAGGAGATGGAGCATGTGAAAAGAGAATTGAATGCTCTTGCGAGCATAAATAAACAATATGAGACTAAATTACATAAGTTGGTGCTTGCATTGACTGAACCTCTAATGCGTCATGTCCATGCTATGACAATACCTGCCATTTGTGAAAGGGGAAAACAAAAATATAAATGATTTGACTGTTGTTAGA